ATATGCCTAGTTGAAAAGAAGATAAAGAAAAATATATATCGAAAAAAATGGGGTTCAAATAAGGGCTAATAATCTTATTTTCTTAGTTCGCTAAAGTTTTATGCAATGCCTGTGGACCAAATGTGCAAGTTTCCTATTGAGGAGATCAAAACAAAAATTGAATGGGCCTTAGAAAGTGGATGGGTGGTGCAAACACAATGCAAAGACTACACTGAGGCCCACTTAGGGCATTGGGGGATTACTTTTGAATTTTCAGTTTGCATGTTGAAATTGGATATATTTGAGCTCAATGGCTAAGTTAAAGAGTGCACAATAGATTGATTTCGATTATCCCTTTGAATTTGGAATTAATCAATAGTCGGATTATTGGATAATTAGATTGTCGTGGATTCCAAAACCTTATTAATTAAATAATTTGAATCTTCATTCTGATTAGTTAGTATTCCTCCCTTTTACTTATTGTCTATACTTTTAATTATTTCGACAAACAAATTAAATTTGTGGACTAGGCTTGAATTATATAACTAGTCCACGTGGGCCTTCTTGCTCATTCTGATTAGACAGATAGATTCGTGCAATTGCGAATTATCTAAAATTTGACAACGCTTGTACTCGTCACGAGTCAAAATTGATTCTTCCATCTATTTTTCTAAGCCATTGAACATATATTTTCAGTTGTCCAACACCCCAAACCACTCGCGCTCTGATACTGCTTTGTGAATTGAGGCCAAATTTTCTGATAGGATATTTGTTTAGAGAGAAAATAATGAGACGAAAAAATAAATGAGGAGAAGATAAACTACGGACAATTATACAAAATTTTCTCTAAGTATCGGAGTTAAAATGTCTAAGGAAGTGCACTGCGATGTCGCGACCTTCACGACTGGGTAGATTTCAGATTGCAATTTAGATCTTGTGCTTGCTTGTTGAAGTAAATTGGTTACACGGTTGTGTTCGTCTTGGTGAGGGGAGTTGGCCAGTGGTGGTTGCCGGGCATAAAGGTGGTCAAACGATGAAGTTCGGATGTTTGATAATGGACTAACCGTGACCTCAAAATTCAACAATTTGTGACTAAAAATTAATCTGTGACCTGCAATTTTTTTATCTGTGACCAATAAAATAATTTGTGACCTATAAAATTATTGATTTATGATCTGAAAATAATCCCTGACCTCCAAAATTTTTAATCTGTGACTAAATGTTTGAACTGTGACATCGAAATAATTCGTAACGTATAATATTTTTGATTTGTCACCTTGAAATAATCCGTGACCTATAAACTTTTTGATTTGTGACCTCAAAAATAATCCGTAACCAATTAATTATGTATATGTGACTATTAATTGTATAATTATGATATC